TGAAGTGTCAAACACGCACCCAACTATACAAAAAAAATAAGTATTTAAAAAGGACTTAATTAACTCAGTTTGATCAGCCAGTGAAACAACTGGTGAATAACAGCTGCTTTCAAGTTCCAAAACTGAGTTCTTTCAAGAAAGGACATGTTTAATTAAACATTGTAGAATTTCACTGACTGCACATGAAGTGGTTTATGCTCAGTATATTTGAGAATGAAACTCAGTACCCCAAAGTGATTAACTCCACTATCTTCTTCCCATAGTAGTGGATAGGACACATGCAAGATTTTCCTTATACTATACCAGTAGAAAATATGAGCTATGTTACCACTGAACTTTAATATCACACAGAATTTTTCCACATGGGCTAAATTTTTAATCTATAGATTAAAACACTGTAAGAGACGTAAAAGATTCTGTATTGTTGTGTCATCTTACGGTCTTATAGTTTCCTACTTGTCAAGACACAAGAACCAAGATCTGAATGTTTAGTGCAGAGTATGCTGAGTTTAACTCCATTGCAGTACAAGGTCACATTAGAGACACCTGTGATTATTCTGATAAAGAACAATGACTTGGATGAAGTCTGAACTGGAACTGATAGGTTTTTATAGTAACAGCAAGATATTTGGATAAGCAATGCTGTAGTGTAGTGGGGACTAAAAGTGTTGAGTGTGCCCAGCCTTTACCAGCTTCCCAAGTGAGATGAGCACTACTCCAGTTTTCCCTAGCGGTTAGCATACAACCTTGCATGCCACCTGCGAATGTACTTGATGCCTTGCACAGCTCACTGAAAGCAACTGATATCTCACAGCAGTGAGGGCATTTCTCTTTGACTTTAACTGGCTCTATAAGAACTTAAAATATTTGGATTAGATGCTGTAAGACACATGATCAGGCCAACTGCCTTCTTTTTAAGTCTTGTGTATCTTAGTTAGGTCTGTAAAGTGGCTGGTCTGAGCAGGACTGCAGATCCTTCAAGGCCCCTGGAGCAAGACTGCAAGAGAAAACTGCAACTTGAGGGGGAAGATCTCAGGTTGTATACATGTGTATAGTGAAGCCACCTTAGTGTCTACAATAGGATTCAGTCATTTTCTAGTCACCGAAGTTCATGACACAGCAAATTTTATACAAGCTCACTTTGAAGGCAGTTCAGCTCAGTGGCTGCAGGTTTTTAAAAGTTGTTTCTGTCTTTTCTGTTCCATGTGACAGATCTTCATAAGCCATTTCTTAGCTGCCGGGATTCATACGAATGCAGCACTTCCAAAAGCAAATACAACCCAGTAACACTGAATATGTATGACAAGACACTGACATTTTGTCAGAAGAGTGTAACCCCAATGTGTAAAGTGGCTTTAAGCATCCATGTGGGATGCTGTGCTTCACTAAACCTCTCTTTTTTTAACAATGATAAGTGACATGTCACATAGATCAGGCAGACAGTTTGCAAAAAGCCTCTGTAGGGAAAAGTGTTCCAGAAATTCTGTGGCCGTTGCCCTGTGAAGAAGTGCAAACAGGAGGTCACGTTTATGAGCACTGGTACGTTTTTTTAGCCAACTGAGAGTACACAGGGAGCTTCTTCAATGGACATCTCAGTTTAAACTAGCCAACCAAAAAACGCCTTGAGAAACAGCAGTGGTTTGATTAGCACTTGCCACTTTACAGAGATCTGTCAAATCCGGTGTAAATTGCATTAATAGAAGTGGCCACAATGTAACCCCTTTGTTAAGATAAATACATTTTTGAAATGTGAACGTGGAATTCACAACAGGTAGATATAGAATTGCAATAGAAAATCCTGAATAACAGAGAACCTAAACGTAAGGTAGATATATTAGGTATATAAAAGTTACAATATCAGCCTGTTCAAATGGTCTATCCATTACAGAACCTCATTGCTGAACATTGCCAATAAGAAATACTTTAAGAAAACATCAGAACTTTAAAAGTCAGACACTAAAATAATGACAGATCTATAAATACCAAGTCTGAGTCATAGTGGGAGGTATAAAATTCCCATCATGAGTCAGCACTTCTCTGTAAAAAATCTTCAATAGACATTAGAAAATAAGAGAAAAAGAACAGAAATAACATACATAATATGAATGAATATCGTTTTATAAAAGGAAGGAAGTAAAATTTTAATTCCAAAAAGCAGTTTATATAAATTAAAGATGAGGCATCTTATGGCAAACTATGAAATGTAACATTGTCCTTATTTATTGATACTTGATTTTTTTTTTAAGGAAAATATTCAAGCTGAATATATATGTAGAAATATACATTCAGTAGTCAAAATGGGTTTGTAAATGAAAGTATGTCTATTGATGCTTAAGGTATTTCCTGGAGGTAGGGACTGCTACATGCTGGGACTCACAGATCTCCATAATAGCACTCTGAAAAGTCCTCTGAATGCATATCTATAACTTTTTATTTACACATGCTTATGCAATAAAACAAAATTCTTGTTGCACAATATTATTGTTTCACAGTATTTGAGATCAGAAACCAGGATTCTCTCTGAGTGGGACAATGTGCTTCTCAACAGCTCACAGAATCAGGCTCCCTCTGGTTTATTGCTATTGTATGGCCCAATTGTACTCTTTTCTGCATAGATCCAGTGAAAAACTGTCCCTCTCCAAAAACAGTTTGTATTTTGGGCACTCCCTCTGA